TCAAGGTCGTTATCAAACTGGTCATTAAATTTTGACCGTATTGTAATGATGACAAGAAAACCACGACGATCAGTACAAAGGAAAGGAGCTTTGTAGATCTAACTTGACAGTAATGGAGAATGGTTAACCGTTTCTCAACCTGTGGTTTCATCTCCCAGCTTCTTCGGTTTCCAACCACAAAACCGAAACGTTAAATTCCAATCCGATCAATCTGTGAGTTAGCTGTGCCCTGACTTTGAACAGCCCAGAGGTTATTTCAGGGTTTGATTTGTGAGTTAGTCATGCCCTGACTTAGATCAGCCCAGAGGTTGTTTCAGGGTTCGATCTAGCTGTTAGGTGTACCTTGAGTTTGATCAGCCCAGAGATCGTTTCATTGTTCGATAAAATATATGTTTAATCGCAAGCAATAAAAGCAAGCACCAAGAATTATGGGACGGCGTGGCTGGTACAATTATAAACCATAGATTCTTTTATTTTTATGATTTCTTAAATAAAGGTTACTTTTCCATATTTTTTTGTGCGAATGTAGAGGACGTTCTTGGAAATTTTTGTTAGTAAGATCCGTATAATTCTTTTTTCAATGCAATGTTGAACTGACCCCCAAAGGATAAAATAGATTTTGTTACTTGTTGCGTTACACATGTAGTGTGACAGTGTGACAGCGTGACAGTAGAAGATCCAAAAGAAATTGAGAAATGCCCCACTCTTACTAGAGAAATCAGGACTATTTCCTCTTAATTGCATTTGCCAACATTTTGATTTCAATTACAATGGATATATAATCATTTGGAACACGATATTCAACGATGGACCCAGATAACCAAAAACCATTAACGATCTGATTAGCAATCAGTCCATCATTCCTTCTAAGCAATACTTCAAAACACAGGGATTTAAAGCCGCTATGTCGCTCGCTTTTGAACTCTAAGTAACTCACCTAAGTACTTTGTGGCTTTTAAGATCTTACAAGCTCTAAAAACCGATTGCACTTCCTTTAAAAAAACTATTCTTAAATCTTTTTAAGATTTTATTAATTTTTAATTTTTAATTTTTATTTTTGGAGTTGATTGACGGTTTTGCGCGCGCTCAGAGCAACCTAATATCCGCGCATTTTGAAATCCAGTTTATCAAGCAAGATATTTATTTCATTGTAATGCAATTCTACCATGACGTAACGAATTAAAAAGATAATTAATCTTTCTTCGCGTTATCTCATCAAGGCAAAAAGATATGGTTTGTTTTAGTTATGCCCTATGGCCATGTTAAGAGTTTGATCCAAGGTAGAGTTGTGCAAGATGTTTACAGCACGTACACTGTAAGGCATGCCTTAAGAGGAAAATTGTAAGGCCATCATTTTCAACACAGACTTTGCAATATCACACGAGTTGTACGCTGAAATTTGCTTTTTCGCTGCCGCCAGTAAAAAATATGAAAGGTACCGACTGATTAGGTTTGATTGACGGCAGCGAAAAAACAAAATTCAGCGTTCAGCTCGAAGACACAGAGTTCGCATGTTTCTGAAAAATTGCAGTAAAGTGGCCGTCTCATTAGGATCCCCCCCGTCTCAAAGACAAACTAAGGTCACCTCTTTTTTAACTTCGACTCAAGACAGGGTATCGCATATGCCAGAGTGCTGACATGGTTTTACAATTACAAGACATTATTAATTTCGTCTGATTAAGACTAAGCTTATACTCGGTGGTTATAGTCATTTTTTAATCATTATTCGATATTAAATAGTTCACTTATCAGGCGCATACGCAACTGATAACAAACTATTGAACCAACGTGTTTTACGCGACGTGGAGCCCGCGCGTCTCGCGTTCGAATGGACTAACGGCTCATGTCCGAGTCAAACGTTATTCATATTTGTACTGATATCTTATTTTTATTATTATCATTTTTTTATTTTTTAACTCAGGAATGTTTAAAATATCTCCAACGTAAAATGGAAAAACCACAGGAAGCCCAAAAATATGAGTAGATCATGCATGATTTCAATGGGCACTGCGCAGATTTTTTAAAGAAGTTATCTAAGTTAACTAGCGCGCATGTGTAGTACATAGCTTTAGGGCATTAACATGTTGAATTGGCCTTAGAGAAAAGAAAGCTAATAAAGAAAGAAAGAAAAAATGACATAGTAACAGCCCTCGTGGTCACGTGCATTATAAAAGAAATAATGCAAAAATCTCTACATATAGTGGCCCTACGTAGAGGTTTGCCTATAAGTAAAGATAGATAGATAGATAGATAAGCTTTACTTACCCTTGGTTTTAAAATGAGACTTGCTAGGCCTATAGCGTAGCTGCTAATGATCCGAGAGAAAAAAAGTGAAAATATAACGAGAAAGAAAAAAAAAAATTAAAATGCTAATATTAAATATTGTATTAGATTATACAGTGTGGTAAATATAACTGATTTATAACATTATTGTAACGATAGTAAAGGGTTTTACAACTCAATACACCAGATCGAAATATGGCGACCAATTTTAACTATACATATATTTTTTTCCCCTGTTAGCACATGAGAGGCTATACTAGTCAGTCCAGAATAATAGCTATTCAAATCGGTAGCCATATTTCGATTCGCTGTATATAGATGGTCCGGYACTAAACAGAGAATTGACAATTCAATAGACGGTTTAAAAGTGCAGTTCAAATGAAAATTTGTAAGTTCTATTTTTAAATTGCAGTCCGGGCACCATTCCGTTACGTTTGATTTCCCACGCCCCACAAGAGAAAAGGATTTCCCCAGAATTTCATCGCTTCAATTGCCAAGAAATTCCGTTGAATAAATTTAAGTGCAATGTTTGCTTTTCAAGCCATTATATTCTCGACCCTAGACGCCCCCAGGATGACGAGTGTGGTTCAAAGTATGAACTTTGTTCAATTCGAGGGGCGGTTTCTGTCTACAGGACATTGGTCAATCCGTAGAGGAAGGAGTCTATAGCGTGGCTAAAAACACTATACTGCGAATAGTATTATTAGTTTTTGGCGTCATCTTAAGGAAACTGCATATAATCGTATTATTATTCGATTGTTAAGGCGTCTGGTATATTTATTGTCATTTAAAAGCGTTTTTGGCGAGACAACAATGAAAAATGGAAGACATCTTTTGAACTGGCATTTTTCTCTTGCAGACTTGCGATGGCAGGAACCAATTGAGACGATGGCTCTGTGCCGAGATGTTTTCAAGAGTTTTTAAAAAAGAGGTCTGTAGCGTGAAAGCTAGACTGAGAAAATTTTGTCAACGGATTCTTCAAAATTCTTGGTTGCTATAGTGTGAGAACTTGCCAGGAATGTAGAAGAATGAAGTGGCGAAAAGAACTTGGATCTCTTTCAAGAGCTGAACTTGAAGAAGTACTTTATGGGATTGATAGTTTCCATCAACTCACGATGAATCGAAACACCTTCTAAAAATACAATTTTTTCAGTTAGTTTAAGTCATGAATGAGAATTTTGTTAAGCAAATAGAACTTACATTCATAGATTTTTAAAATAATTTACAATTTTGGTTCTAGACAACAAATATGGTTTTAGAACAATAAAAGGACGTACATTGTGGTTTGTTCGCCATGTTTCTACAGAAGGAAACGTGAACCATTGTTCTTCATAAGATACCTCTCTGTGGGAATCGAGGATGCTGTAGCGCACTCGCCTCTCACCTTATTACACCGTACACGCTAAATTCCACTGATTTCAAAAATGTGAGCTAGGAGAGCCCTGACATTCATCAGCATAGAGATTGTTTCAGCAGTATTGATAAAACCTTAGGCTTGGAAAAGGTGTTTCTTTGATTGAAGACAGACTAAAAACAGGAGATACGATTTAGAGTCACAAATGGATAGGATATTGAGGTTTTTCTTAGTCTGCTGCCCACAACAATTGCCTTAGTTTGGAATTTCATTAGCGTTGATGAGCCTAAACAACAAATTAAGACCAAAGAAAACTGAAAGAAAAACCGGCAAATGAACGAATGAATAATTATATCAATTAATGTTGGATGGAATGGAATGGAATGGAATAAATGGAATGGAATAAATGGAATGGAATAAACGAATGGAATGGAAATGATAGATTGATAAATGACAGAAATGAATGAATAAATGAATGCATTGATGGAGGGAATGGAATAAACAGAGTGGATGGATGAATGAATGAATAAACGGAAGGAAACAATGAATAAACCCGATCGCTCCAAGCACTACTTTACATAATACCGTACATACTTAATCACATATATATCTGTAGACAAAAGCGTACTTGATTTGCATTAACTAATCCAAAACACACGGTTCACCGAAAACAAACATGCAAAGCGTTTTTCATTAAAATCTTTTACGAAAACATCTAGCACCCTTTTGCTAATCCATTGCCCAAATGTTGATGCTCAATTCGTTTTAAAACTTCAAAAACACAGTCTTTTGGAATTCAAAATTAAGTAAACAAGAATTGTTATTTTGAGTGAGTGCACATCTTGAATTTGAATCTTGCTCTTGTCATTTCGCGAGATGCAAATTGCTAGAGTTTTTTTTATAAACATACGACAATTAAGGATTCTCCCTCGCTAAATTCCGATTTGATCTGCGATCGAGTTAGCTAGCTGTGCCCTCAGACGTTGATCATTGCAGAGGCTGCTTCAGGGTTCTATCGGTTAGTTAGTCCCACCCTGACTATAATCAGCCCAGAGAGTTGTTTCAGGGTTCTATTTGTGATTTAGCTATGCCCTGACTTTGATCAGCCCAGAGAGTTGTTTCAGGGTTCTATCTGTGATTTAGCTATGCCCTGACTTTGATCAGCCCAGAGCAGAGCCCAGAGGTTGCTTAAGATCACGTGACAAATACAGCCCCCACCCCATACCCCCTTAATTTTTAAGTAGCTATTTTTTTCTCAGCGTAGGCGGAGCTAACTAAGTGCCCTCGAGATGGCATGGACAGTCGTGTGTGATGGTAATTGAGAGCGAAGTCGAGGCAATAAGTAAATTCATGAATGAGATATCAACGGTCTGGTATGACTTAGAAGAGTTCAGCTGTACGTATATGGTTTGTATTGAACCCGCTACCGCACGCAGAGAGCTTAATTTGACATCAAATCCGCAACCTCCCCTCGAAACATCCGCCTTGCTGAATATTCATTCACACCCAAGCTCTGCCATCTACGAGACACAAACGGGAAGTCTTTGAAGATGAGGATGTCAGATTCTCTACGAGTTTGATTGTGGACCCTGGCATCGGGATTAACCTTTGCTTTTCAAGTCATCTGTCATTGCTTGAGTTAAAAGCCATCGACCAGTCGAGGAGAACCGACAGACAAAAACACAAAGTTGGTCTGGATTTGACCATTTTAAACTAGCCGCTGTGTACGAACGAACGTCGTGTGTTTTGGATCGACAAGCGATATGTGGTTCAAGAGCTTGACTCGTCTCTGCGTCGTCTTCTTAATTCTATTTGTGTTGCCTTCAAAATGCGTTGTCTATCCTTCGATACAGTGGACGCCACGAAATCCTTTGTAAGTAAACCTCGCTCGCTTGCTTTATTATTATCAGTATTTATTTGAAGTGGAAGGATAGTAACTGAGCAGTAATGTTGTCCTATTTTATAAATTTTATTACTTTGCTCTTATGTCAATGTGTACCTAAGAATTATAACTTATTTTGGTCCTCAAACCGCCAACAAAATATCAGTTAAATCTATGTACAATGACATTACAAATACGTACATCTGAGATAAATTTGACAACCAAAAAGACTAGAAATCATAAGTACGACTAAGGTCGTATTTGTAGAGCGACAACTTGAACAGTTTGGTAGCTAAATATATAATACGACATACCACAAATGATGTCGATCTTAAAGGTGGTTTTGTTTGATTTTAGCAAGTACAAACTACCTTCAATCAAAATCTTTTAATTCTTACGTAAAAGGTTTATAAGTCGTTCTTAGCAAGTCATCCAGGCATATAACCGCTAATACAACGCGATAATTCGAAGATACATTTTACCGTTTTCTTTTGTATTTGCTGTGAAATATCAGGAAATAACGCTGCTAAAAAGCCTAGTGATTGATTATTTAATGAATCAAGAATAGAACAGATCGCTAGAAATTTTATCCCCGATTCTCTTGCACCTAATTTCCTGCATATTCTGTCTTCACTGTCTTCAAAACATGTTTATTATTAGAAGCGGATTGAACCTTAACTTAAATCCCTGGTAAATTGAAGTCGTTTAAAAAAATCATAGTAAATTGTGGTTATGGTTGTTTTCTTTGAAGAACACATTTATATTGTTTATGAAGTCTTTGGCATTCTGTTGTCTTTGCTTTAAAAAAATAATAAAATCAAAATTCAATGGACAAGAAAACAAAGTACTTTGCATCACTTTACATTTGATTCAAAACTTGATCCTTTTAGGCTAGGGAAGCTTTTAAAACGTCAACAGAATAAGAGGATTTAGTTTTGGAATTCRAAAAAGGAAATCCATGAAAAGAAGACGCTGAATATTCATTATTTATTTAGAGAAGTTTGTTGTATTAAATTCTCGCGTGAGGATCTGTATAGCGCGCGTAGTAATAACGAGAGCTCCAAGCACCGCTATCGCAATGATATCTTGTACCTCGTACGACAAAGAGTCATGGATTTACTTGATATGGCTATATAGCTTCTCCAGATAAGACCTTTTTCCAGTTTTTCTTGATAAAAATCACATATATCTCATCAAGAACGCAGATCAACACACAGACTTGAAACATTCACTAAGTTATTTCTCCAAATAATGTCTTTTCTGTTGCTAATGCTAAAACATAAGACCTCTGAATCCTCTTTCGTAATTCCTTTATTATAAACAAATTAGAATTACTTATGGAAGATTACTACATTTTGGGCAGATTCCTAAAGAAATCTTTCTGTGCCACGAACGACCTTACGCCAAAGGTCAACCATAGTAATAGATAGTTATTGAATCGCTTCGAAGTTACGCACGAATCAAAGCCAAGAACTTGAACTCCTCAAAATCCTCTGAATTAACGCCATTTTTGATGACAATGGTTTAAGAACCATTACGATAGGCTTTCCGATCTGGTATCAAAGCAAAACCCGTACAATAGACCTAGATATTGATGTGTGAACATGGATTTTGCCTTCAAAAGAGTTTGTTTGTGCACTGTCGTTTTTATTTGTGATTTCCCCATAAAAAATTTAGCTTCCTTCTTTATTGGAATTTGTCTTAAATTATCTGGTATTATAGACAATTAAAGCACTTTTAGCAAAATTGATTTCAATAAATACTAAGAGCGGAAATGTAGCACAAAAGCGAGCTAAATTGTACAAATTTTGCTGYAAATTTTCTTACAGTAAACATGTCATTTGGAAAGCCTTTTTTTTTCGAAAATTTTTCCTTCGGTGAGTTCTCTACAAGGCTCAGTGACAGAGGATTTTTTGTTGTTATGAATTTAGAATTGCTTGAACTACACCGAGCCTAAGATTCATACGTCGTCGGCGAAAGATATCGAGACAAAGTTTGCAAAGCGTCTTGACGAAGGCCATTTGTTGAGCCATCTTTCTTTACTCTTTCAACGCCTTTCGGCTCATTCCAATTTAATTAACTCATTGAGACGTATCGCACATTGACTCTAAATTAAGCTCGAAGTGAACCTTTTGTTTAAAGTTATTTCTAAAATACAAAAATTAATTAAAAACAGGCAGGATTTTACAAAAGCTCGAGGGATTTTTGATGTTTAAACAAACAATGAGAGATAAAGTCTCGTGCTTATTAGATATGAATCCGTAAGTTTGTGGATGGCCGAAAATATCAAAAGTTTCAGTGGTAAATAAAAACTGTGAAGACAATATGTCTGCAAATATTTTCGCTACTTTTCTTTCGTTCGTTGACTTTTCAAAACCATGGGATTATGAGAAAACTGGACTTAAGTTTGCCTTTATCAGTTTTGCATACGCTTGCAGACGCATACACGTTTGCCTCTTTAGAAGACTCAGATAAGCTGTCAAAATTTGAAATTTGGGCCCAATTTTATCTCATATCCGTGACCCAACCACAGAAATTCAGCCCTAGACTTTTCCTGAGCAGTAAATATTCGAATCTTAAGGGAAACTTCATAGATAAAATGAATTCTGCTTTACGCATGAATTCTTCAGGAACTGTGTTGAAAAGCCTTTCAACGGTTTACGAATGGCAACTTTCTTCCTCTAATAARAGGTGTACCCTGTCAGCTACTGCAAGTTAATGAAATTCCGATGTATCGACGTAAATTTGTGCATTGGACATCCGAGAGACGTATCAATTATATGATTATGACTTGACTAATTTGATCAACACGTTCAAATTCACTTCACACTTAATTAAAATCTTTCAATCAAGCAAGTATGTGCGAAGAACAGTATCTTCACCACAGGCATGGAGTGCCAATTTGTGAATAATTTGCACGCTGAAATTCCCACGAAAAACCTTTTATCTTATACTTCAAAGTTAAGAAAGAAAAGTAAAAGTTCCGGCGGTTGTCACGTAAGGCTTGTGCTTAGATTTCAAACTCTCGCGCTCTCGACTCTTTTCTTTCTCTTCGATTCCTTTTTCCTTTTCGAACTTTAAGTTTACTGGTATAACACAAGTTAAAGTTTTAAGACGACCTGTTGATATGTATTACACACACATATATAAATTTAAAACTGTTACAATCGTTCCAAGATACAAATCAAAGTTTCGACGCTTTTAGTCGTGACATTTTTCATCGACTTTACTTGAAAAATATTGTCAGAAACTTAACTTGAAAACTGGTAAACAATAGTTTTTATTCTGAAAAAACTTTGCCAAATATTAGCAGTACTTGTTGATCCAAGAATTCAAATATTAATTTAACTTTGCACGGGGCTTTTGAGCTATTTTAGTCCAAAGTTTAAGGTTATTTTTCGTTATTGTTTATTGAAAAAGTTTATCGCGACAAACTTGACCACCTAGATTTTGCAGATTTTAGAAAACGGGTTCTTCTTTATGAACATAAACAAACTTGAAACTTAAGATATTTGTTGTTCTTCATAACTCAAAAAGGTGCCGGAACTGAATACCTCAAAGAAAGCGTTTACAAAGACAAGTATGTGAAAAGAAAATAATGGMGTCTGTCATCACTGAAAGCCTCTATCAGCGAAGAGGAGGGGTGCATACGAGTCCTGTCGGGCGAAACCGCGATAAGATACATAGATACATAGTTACATCCCTACCGTTGCACAACACTTGGCAACATGATCTCGAGAGAAAACGTAAAATGTAAATAATACTTTAAAATCTAAATAGCAGAAGACTACAAGTTTTGCATACCAAGTTTCTGCTAATGTTGTGTAAAAAAACATCTGTTTTGAACACAAGCTTTGAGAAACACGTAGAACGTTTTTGAGAAAGATGCAACTTTTATGAAATACACGTACGCGCTTGCAAAATTTGTGCTCTTTTTTCATTTCGACTCCTTGAAGAAGAGACTACGATCTGTTGTGACGTTAGCCATACCCCGACTTAGATCAGCGCAGAGGTTGTTCAAGCTACGGATCTGTGACGTTAGCCATACCCTGACTTAGACCAGCCCAGAGGTTGTTTCAAGCTACGGATCTGTGAGTTAGCTGTGCCCTGACTTAGATCAGCCCAGAGGTTGTTTCAAGCTACGGATCTGTGAGTTAGCTGTGCCCTGACTTAGACCAGCCCAGACTGGTTGTTTAAGGGTTCGATCTGTGAGTTAGCCATGCCCTAACTTCTACATCTGAATTTGCCACAAAAGAAAAAAACTTATCGCTTCAAATTTTCCATGTTAATATATTTACAGATTGCGCTAGCTCTTCGAATACTTTCTTTGTAACTAGTTTATCGAGATTTCAAAAGACAAATGGCAAACGTTCATGTACTCGAGATCGCGTRGAAACTAGAGCTAAAGATCCGAACAATCTATGTTTGGGTGACTWAACGATACAAATATGACCTGAATTRGATTGTTATGTCTTTATAGATGTGATCAATGGAAATATAAGTTCAACTAGCTAACCACACTGAATATAGGCAGGGCAATTAGCTCAGATCATGAATTTACCAGGGTCTCGATCGTAYGGCCTCATTAAGCGTGCTATCTGTTGTCCATTGATTGGTGATCTTAATGACTTGGACACGTGACTTCTAGGAAATGGATAAATATAGCTGCATGGATGATTGATTTGTGTMTGTATGGTCCTGATGAGTTCGTTGAGACTTTGTTTTTGAGTTTATTTGATATTTTTGAAGCAAATTTCGTGTTTACTTCGGCTTGCTTTAGCATGCTTCTTCCGTTTCATCCGCTTTTCTTACCTCTCTACAATCTTTCCCCTTTCGTACGCTCTCCCCCTTCCTTCCTTCCTTCCTTCCTTCCTTCCTTCCTTCCTTCCTTACTTACTTCCTTCCTTCCTTTCCTCTTCCTCTCTCCCATGCTACTTATTCTCCTTCTTTAATTCTTTCCCTCTGTATCTCTTTTCCCATCTCCATCTATA